TAATCATCGGCAGATCGGTGCATTATCTATAATTTCGATGTAACGCACCGGAATTATGCATTGCTTCATCTAACGTTACATATGATTGCGAAATTATTTATCAAATATCAGATATATAATTATCTTTATTATATAAAAATCGTGTAATCGACAATTTATTTTTATTTTTATATTTTGGACGAAAATATAATATGTATATATTTCAACGCTGATAAATCAATCGTCAATTATATAATAATTCGAAAATAAATTGTCGATTACACAATTTTCATATTAATAAAGTCATCATATATTTTGGATTATAATGAATTTCATAAAAATGCAAATGTAGTAATGAATGTCAAAAGTAGATAAATCTCATATGATTTATAATTGTTTCTTCTATTATATTAAATTGTGGCAAATTAAATATGATATCATACACACATACAGCATGATACCATCTGAGAGAAGCAGCATTATCAGCCAATTATAGAGAATATCAATATCGTATAATAATGTATACCGCTACTAGTTAAACTTGTTGTCCCGTTATAGCGATTAAGTAATTGCACGCAATTTAAAATATTACATAATATAATCTCTATCGTGATCGAGTCGATCGCTTAAGTAAACTAATCATTTTATTGAAAAGGTGCAATTACTTACTTATCACCGATATTGCCCTATCATCGGGCCTGTTGGCTTTAAGACAATTTCGCGACGTTACAGTCATACTTGAAAAGACAGCCGACGCAATAAATATAGCCGGCAGCTAATAATAGTCGGTTGATTATGTGCACAAATTCACATATTGGATCCGTATAAGCGTAACGAAGGCGACTTGGGCGGCGGTGAAAATCCACGAAGCGAACCCTACCCCATACAAATGAGTATTTATGAACCCGTCGTGGCTCTATATTATGTCTCATTTTGCCGCAGGATCGATTAGCTCTAATCGCGACATATAAACAAAGCATTAATAAAACGCCAATCCCGATCCCGCTCTTTTCGCGCAAGCGAGGAAGAAAAGCAATAGAGGAGAGATCATTTGTCGAGGTATGAAAACATGTATATATTAATTCGTCACGAGAGGCAAGTATTTCTTGCACGCGCATATGCTTTTGCATAAATGTGAATCTTAATTGAAGCATCAATTGCACTAAGTTATTTCAATACATCTTTATACATTCGAGTATAAAGCAGTTGAAAAAAATCTCCTAGGATTTAAAGGTATACAAATATAATTTTCATAAACTTTCTACGATCATAAATTATATTAGACAATGTTAAGTATTGATTTTTAAAAATTTGTGCAATTATAATAACAACAGACAATAAATTTGTTGTATATGCTAGTGCATAAAAAATCATTTCCAACAAACTCAATATTAATAAAATTGACTTATAAAATTAGCTCTCTTGTGATTGTAAGAGAAAAGACACTGACGTAATTTAAACCGATCAAGAGACAGATTGGCCCGAGAGAAACACGAGAAGGCAAATTAATTCACGAGTGTCTGCAACCTCAGATAGAGGTCTACTAATAGAAGCCACGTATACATCAAGATATCGATTACCGCGACTTATGAGCTCTTAAATAAATAATTAAAGGACGCGTAAAAGATAATCTCTACGTCTGCGATCATCGTTTACAAGTTTAATAAACGTGAAGGCGCCACAATGATATAAAGGCGCTTTGTGATCGAAATAATTTAAGAGACAAATTAGAATACACAGAATATACTATAGTTGTTTAAAGTATACAGTACAAACTTTGTTATAACATTAACGAACCATATATCTGTATATTAAATAATTATTCAATTTAAAAGTTGACCATTAAATCGAATGCGATGAGTGAAATCATTATTAGTTAATACTTTAAAATTGAATTTTAAAAAATTAATTAATTAACCATAAAAGATAAAATATTTCAAAAATTTATTCAAAGTTTGAGGAATTTATATAGTAGTCTATTTCGTAATAATAATTTTAATAGAAGTACAATTAGTATCAATCAATTTTATTTGTCAAACACTATGTTAAAAAAGAAAAAATGTTTTCCAATTTTCTTATCTCTTATCCCATATCTTATATACTGCATTTTGAAAACTTATTAGAAAAAAAAAAAACACTTACTAATTGCATGAAATAGAAAAAAGGCACAACGTAGAAATCTATGTAAAGATCTCTGAAGTAAAAATCTCCGTACCTCTCTCACAATCTCACGACAATCGATCTGCCGAGATCGACAGATCGAAACGAGTCCCACGATTCCCTCGGGGCACGCCCGAAGGCTCGTTCGCCGATCGAGGAATCGTAGATCGCGATCGACATCCAGCGAGATTCACGAAGAAACGCGTTTACCTCGAGAGCGCACACGTGATTGTATGGGTGGTCTCTCCTCGATCGAGATCTGCACTTTAAATCGTTGGAAGCTTAAGGTACAATCTGGTACGTTTTGACTTTATAATGGACTTTCTTGCCGCGTATCGCTCGCCATCAATTTTTGTCACCGCGCCAATATGACGCTAACATTATGGGAGATAAAATACTCGATTAAACGAAAAGAGAAAGAAACTTTGTTTCATTTACTTACGTTTAAATATTATTTTTCCCAGTTTTATATTGGCGAAAATCTAATTTGTTCGTATTAATCCTGATATTCATGTGCTCTAAATAAAGATACGCAATTATCATATAAGTCGTTAGTTCTGTCGAAACAGAGATCATCGCGGATCAAATCGGGAGACCCACCGCGCAGCCGTGCAGGAAGTCTCGTCGATCTTTTCGTGGCACTCGATCGCGCGGGAGGGAAGAGAGCGAACGGGAAGATCGGGAGATCGGCTCTCTCACCGATCATTGCCATCGAGAGATGCCTGAATAATAGAGCCGCATCATCGTATTTAATAATCGTACAATGGGCGACGTGACGCGATAAGATCGCGATCGTTTCGGTGGACGGACGAGCCCTCGATAAGCTGGCCGCTCATAATAACGCAATTAACACTTCTTTATTCGATCAATTTTCGTCTCGCCTCGTCTCATACACGAAGAAAAAATCGCTTCGCGATGCGGCTTTGCAATATGCCTATATATATTGTATATAATGTACCTTTCAAAATTAGCTAAAAACATGTTTTCCTCTTCAAAAAATGCACTTCTCTCTCTCTCTTTTTTATGCATTAACATTCTTTATATTTTCACTTTGGATAAAGTTAAAAATAAATATATTCCTACTAAAATTATTATCTCATATCATCATCACCAAGTATAGTACATAAATTTTTCCGATAAATTAATTTTGTAAATAAATTTCATAATTATTGTAATAAAAATTCAAGTATCAAATTAAAAATACTTTATCTTATTCGATTAATGTGTTTTAATAACGATACATGTAATTAAAACATGTTCCAGTCATGAAGATTTATATTATTTGTATTCTTTTAAATTGAAAAAAAAGATTGATGTTTAATTTCAAAAATATTCAATCAATTTTTTGACATTTTTTGAACGCCAAAAAGATTGGAATAATATGAGTTCTATACGCTTGGATAAAATGATTTCTCGCACCAAATGAGTGCTTCGAAAGATCAATGTGAAAAGAGGAGAGAAAGTGGCACAGTTACGCGGCAGTTCGCCGACAAACATACTAAGTCCTCGATAAGGATTGTATATGCGAGGTGTATTCAAAATATTGTCGTCACGAAAAATTAAGAGGAAACATGCCAATAAAAGGAATACGGCCAATAAACGTGCTCGTATCGTATAAGCTTATCGGGCCGCAAAACGGCTGCAAATCCTGTCGGACTGAGTGTCTCCTGTCAAATGGAACATAAAGTACTTATATTATATTAGCTAATATATTTCTCTCCGTAATTCCCGAACACCCTAAAGTGCCTGATACACTGACGAAGCTTGGCCCCGGTTGATTACGATCGTTTACGACCGCTAAATCATTCGGCGTCTCTCCCCACCCTTTTTCTCTTTATTTGCAAAACGTCATGATACCCCTAATCGCTGAAACCGGTAGTAAAACGATCGTTACTAGTCGCGACAAAGAAACCGCCACCTTCGAGAACAAACGAGCTAATAAAACCGTTTTACCGAGTCCCTTCCGTTTCGCCTGAAACCGCGCATCGCTACGCGTGTTTTTCTCATCGTACACTTAAAATTCCAGAAAAGTATGGAGAAGCGACTTCAGATACGACTGGTGTGGTAATGTATACTACCGTAACATTGAATATTTTGCGACTAATTGTCGCGGAAATTTTTCGGACCAGCAATTATGAGGTCCCGCATCAGAGTTTACATAAAGTTGTGTGTGCGAAGGTAACATATCATTTTGTGGGAGATCATTAAAAAGTTGAGAGTTCTAATTTCATTTTCAATAGTAGAGAATTCTAGAGTTCAGAATTATATCAGAATTATTTCGTAATAAGCAGAATTCTCGAAAATCGAGCGGCGTTTTACATTGATAAGTAAGAGATTTGCTGGTGTTTATTTAGTTTTAATTAATATTTTTTTATTTTTAGAAGAAAGAATTCTTATAACTCTTGTAGAACTATAAATCTTTTAAATTTGAAAATTATTGATAAGGAAAATGCTGCGTTAAGTTGATATATCAATTAGGCATTTTCTTTGGTTTAATCGTCAGAACTACATATTTGTTTAAACTATCAAGAATTCTATAGAACAACTGAATGAATAAAGCCAGAATTTTTAATTATTTTCCACGAAATAAAACGTTTCACACATCCCTATTACTAACTACAAAAATATAAAATAAACCATTTCTCACTCACCGATAGATGCAAGAGCGGAGTTGTAGTACACAGCACATTGATCTGAAAACAAAATATTCTAATTATGTACCTACATACGAGTACATGTGTGTATATATATATATATATTTTAAAAATCTAGAAACGATCAAATATCTGCATCTGAATAATGCAGTTTACAAATTGCTTTTTATATTTTGATTACAAAATAATGTTCTTATTTTGCATACCTCAAAGTTGCCCCGCTGTCGCCCGATGCCTCCGCGGGTCTCCTTCTCCTTTCTTGGCACTCCTTCGTAGCACTCACGACACTCGCGAAAACACAAATAATTACGATCGCCCGACACTTTACACGGCACTCCCGACGCGCGACACTTTACACAGCACTCCCGACGCGCGACACTTTACACGGCACTCCCGACACGACGCGTGAACCGCACTGTGTATCGCATGCTACCTGTAACAAATAAAATATATACATATATTTGAACAATCTTATTATTTCACATTTTAACATATACAATATAAATATGTAAGTTAGACTTAACGATAGATATATCTATATAGATCGCAACATATTTGCGCGCGATTTGCATCGAATTTCTCGCGAAATATGCGTTTCTAACAGTTACAAATATATATGAACGTTGAAATTATAATATGCAATTGGTAAATATTGCAATATAAAGATTAGAAACGATTATGCTTACTAATTAATCACAGCGAGACTGCCTGATACTTGCAGCATTTCAGTAATGACTGAAGTTATTCGTTATTCTACAAATATCAGCAACTTCATTCTAATAGCACGCGCGATACTGTACATGATTTAAAAAATATTACTAATTAATTAAACTCGAAGGAGATTCGTTCGAAAAGATATAGCTTTAATATATTTCTGGAAAATCTACTGGCTTCTGATTTTAATTTCTATAAAATATAGGTTTACAGTTGCCTTAATTTTAGCTTAATTAATATTTTTTGCTTTTAGAAGACAGAATTCTTTTTAGAATAGTAAAATTATCATTTTTTTTAATCCTGATAATTATTGATAAGGAAAATGCAGTAAGACAAAGTGACATTTTCCAGGAAGTTGGCCTATCAATTTACTCTTACGCATTTTCTTTGATTTAATCGCTAGAATTATTTGTTTAAACTATCAAAAACTCTCAAACTATTGAAAATAAAGCTAGAATAATTAGACTCCTAATTATTTATAATCTGCCATTAAATGATATACTAGCTTCATACCATAAAGTTGCATAAATATATTAAATGAATTTACGCTTTTAGCTGATATTAATATCAATTACGCCACAATTAATTGCGGTATAATTTTTTCATCGTGTTGTATTTTTATTAAAAATGCAAACAATTAAATGACAATATAGATAAAGAGAATATTCATTCGTTAATGCTTTAATCCTTTAAAACTATTCATTCTAGAATCGTCCACTTGTTATCGAAGTAATCTCTGAAGTATCGAAATAACACTGTTATTGTTAGAAAAATCGGGTATATCAGTTAAAATCGTCTTCTCCATTCCTAATCCCTTCAAAGGAAGGATTATATTTTTCTGAAGAAAATAAGAAAACGATTTTTAACTTGATTGTTGTCTGTGCTTGTATCACAATAAAATAGATCTTTTTCTTTCTTGTATAAAATTTTGGTCGCAGCAGGAGACTGAACTTTCCGTCTCACATTAGTAACAGGACATAGATTGGCGAATGTGGATTAACTATTGATTCCTCTCACTGGCGCCAGTTTTATTACAGGCGACTGTCTAAAAATTCAACGGTCGTATTAACACATCTTAGCACATTTCAATTGTGTCCCTTTCACAATAGCATAAATTTCCGTTAGCTGTTGGGCCCATCATCGCATATCTCGTACACACAATGACATAAGCGTCAATACTTCTGTTTTTCTTTCTTATTCCCACTTCTATTTACCCGCATAGTTAGAGGCTATATTGCGTACCTGAAAGTTGACGTGACGTAGACAAACGCATCTCACGGCATTCTCGGCGTGGGTGTCGAGATTCTAATCGGACTTGGCCGTAAGTAGAACAACGACGATTAGGCTTCTTCGGGGCATACTTACTCGACCGGCTCTAATCTCTCTCTCTCTCTTTCTTTCTCTTTCTCTCGTAGATGGCTTCGAGAGAGATAATCATCGCTAGCTATAAGAGTCGCTCGGAAAGGACACTTTATCAACTTCAACCTTTATACGATTTAGATCGCGCTACGATCCTTCGTTCTCGCATCTGCCATACCGGACACGCGATAAGAAAAGAAAAACAAATTCGATGTTTTTCACGATAATGATTCAACATCCACGATATGAATTTGTCATTAATATGATACAGCATTTTAATAATTCTATACTTTACGGTATATATGTGTGTGTTCTGTCCCAACTCCTAGTTTCGAATAGTCTAAATGTTCTTATTTATAAATTTGTTAAAGAATATATTTTTAAATATTTTTGATATATTGTAATAATTAAAAATTAAACATAACATGCGACAAAATGTAGAATATAAAATTAGTATCCAAAATATATGAATAATATTTTTTACTCTTACTATAATACGTTTTAGGGAAACATTTCACGCATGAAAATAAAATATACGCAAAATCCAGGCGATAAATCTCAAGCATCGAAAATTGGTTGGGAAAACGAAGCCGACGTTTCACACGAAAATGGGCGAAACATTGCTTCGGGACATAAGATTACAAGGTTTAAAACGTCGGCCGACGACGATTTGAAAAAACGTTTAGGGAGAGCGGATAGAGAATAGGGATTCACAGTCGAGGAAGAGGGTACACACGAGATGTGCTGAATATATGGTCGAAGCATGAATCCCCCTGGTATATACGCATACCAGTATAGCTATCGGCGAGTGCGAGATCCGACAGCTTCGGAGGTGGCAATGAGCCCGGGTCCCGCCTGCCGCCACACCCACACGCATATATCTTATTTTCCCTTTTTATTTATTCGGATTGCCGTTGGTCGAGGACCACTCTTCGAATCCCCATAGCTCGGTTGCCATAATAGGCGAGCATGGTGGCCCGCCGCCCGCAATGGCCCGCCGGCCTTCCTTCTCCCTCGCGGGCTACTATTCTTCATCTGCGGATGCTTGGCGCGCATCCCGTTCGAGCGCGCGCCATGCAAATGCTTTCAGAGATGCAATGATGCGCTCGTTTGACCAACGTATCTACTTAAATCGCGCTAGTTTTCACGATTAACTCTAATAATCGCAAATCAAAAAATAAGTCAATATATGGTATATAATTCCGGAAATAAATTTACCAACTTTCGATTTGTAATTAATCTAATTTTTAATTTAAATATGTGCGCACAACGTAATCTCCTTGAAAAAAATTAGAAACCATCTATTTGCGGTTGAAAAAATTGTGAAATAAAAAAAGTCAAGGAAAAATATTTAAAAATTATTTTTAAAATATTTACAAAAAAAATTCCAAAGACGGTATTTTTATCCTAGAATAGGATTAATTTAATGTTTCATCAAAGTTATCGGGAAGAAAATTATATTTCATAGAGAATTTCTCAAAATTCTGCATTTCAGTGAAACAAGTCAATGATAATACGTTAAAACAAATTAGCTCATTTCTCGTGTCATTCCAGTAATTCGGTTATCAATAAAATGTACAAGTATATAACGATCTCTGCATGGTTTCTCCATAAATCAAGAACGACATATTTGAAGAGCTATATTTACTCCTACTTTACTTCAAAAATAATTTCTCACTAAAGGCTCAAGTTTATCTCCGTTTAAACACCTGATAAAATAAATCTCCTTTCTCTATGCATTTTTTGTATAATTTTTTCACAGTTTCTTACCGGATAAGAGGTAATCCATTTATGGCATAAGGCCCTACTCTTCGTGCGATGATTTAGTTGAGCTGTAAACCGATCATCCGGTGATCGATACGAAAAGAAAAGAGCACGAACACGATATCGAGGTACATCGGTATACTCGCCGCGCCTTCTCTTTCTCCCTCTCATAAAAAGGAAACACGGGTATACACGCGTGCACGCACATGGCACAATGCCGTGCAACAAAGAGAAACTCACAGCAGAGAATCATCCTTGAAAGATTCTTTCAACTGCTTAAGTCGTTACAGCGAAGATCGGTAGAAAGGATTTCTCGCGTATCGGAGCGTTCATTGTGCGCGTTGCGTTCCGAAGAAAAAAAAAGACATCGAGACGCTGCGAAGAGACTTTGTTCTTGTTTCCTTTCTCAAGTACTGTGTTTTCTCGGCTGTGATTTTTCCCGATTTTTCTATGAGCGCGCGTACACGCGTGGATGCATCCGAGGGGTGCATAGGATGAACGCGAGAGTCCTTCCCCGTCCAGGAAGCTAGAGGAGGGTGCTGCCCCTGCGACGAGCGTAAAACGTAAATGGGCGGAATCTCTATGATCCTCGAAAGCAGATTATTGGGGCTACTTTAACGAGCAGATCGATCACGCTCGGACGCACTCCAACAAGTGCCTTTTAACGGAAAAACGACGGCGATGATACGTATATATACGTCGTATCCGGTCTGTCGATCGTGCGATCGAGCGTTATATACGTTGCAATGGATACCTTTCCTCGACCGCCGCTGTTCATACCACAGCGGTGTGCAGCGAAAATTATAATGTGTACCTGAGCTACCGTACTTCCTCCCGGCTGAAGAAAGCCTTTTCATCACCCTAACGAACTTAAAGTCGACATTCTTCCGATGGGAATTTGACAGATGACATTTTATTAGAAAAAGTTGCAACTTACGAGAAAAATACTAAAAACATTATAGATACTTCTTCAAGTAAATGTAAAGTCGTGTAAGAAATACATAGTGTTGTGATATAACACATAAAGTGTATCTATTATCATTAATCACTAGAGATTGTGTACAGCGATATAACATTTTTTATTAATATACGTTGTTTATTTGACGTTTCGCTTGTCTCTATAGAAATATATATTCTGAATCATTGAAAAATGTTCATACCACAGCGGTGTGCAGCGAAAATTATAATGTGTACCTGAGCTACCGTACTTCTTCCCGGCTGAAGAAAGCCTTTTCATCACCCTAACGAACTTAAAGTCGACATTCTTCCGATGGAAATTTGACAGATGACATTTTATTAGAAAAAGTTGCAACTTACGAGAAAATTACTAAAAACATTATAGATACTTCTTCAAGTAAATGTAAAGTCGTGTAAGAAATACATAGTGTTGTGATATAACACATAAAGTGTATCTATTATCATTAATCACTAGAGATTGTGTACAGCGATATAACATTTTTTATTAATATACGTTGTTTATTTGACGTTTCGCTTGTCTCTATAGAAATATATATTCCGAATCATTGAAAAATATAAGTCACCAAATATCGTTATTATTGTAGTGCGATCTCATAAGAAGCTCTCGCGTGCGCCCAA